GTTTTTTGCATTTATAAGGAATATTGATTTAAAAGATTGACTGTGATGCACTTTCATATAACTTAGGAAAAGCTCAACTTAATCTGAAACAAATCAAAATGCATGTTTCACAAGGTGTTATGTAAATAAACTGCAATGTGCACACAAAGTATTCCTGCTTGTTGCCCATCGTCTTGGAGCATTGAAGCTGAGAAGCAGTTTTCAAAGTATTTATTTTATTCAAGTTCAGGTTATTCAGATCGTAAGCGAAATGGTCGCAAAATGTAAAGACCCAGAATGCGTCAGTTTTTATTAAGGAATCTGATGGATAGCATGCCTTTTCCACACAAATACATTTTAAGAAAAATGTTTTTCTTTCAGTAACAAATTGGTCTCCCAGCAGGCAACAGGAAAAACGTTTTTCATGCATTTTTCTTACTTACTTTTCTTTCTTTCCTCTTATTTATTTCAGCCATGCTGTCTTAATTCTAAGTAATTAACCATTTCACCAAGTATAAAATATACAAGCAATAAAATGTGTTTACATACTAAGAAAACAGCCAGTTTGTAAGAGTGTGGCAGTATTGTTTTTGTTATTGTAGAGAGACGGCCTTTAAAAAGTCCAGAACTACTTAAAATGGGAACATTGTTCTTTTTTTTCATTACTTTGTGTTTGTATACAGTGCAGCTTGTTATATTCATAAATACTAATACACAAAATGTTCATCTGAAACTTATCCCCAAGTGCAACCTTCACCCTCATTTGAGTAACATTTGCTACAATTTACAGAGGTCAGCTTTTAAATAACACTACATTGTTGACTTTTATTTCATAATTTATATTTTCAGTAAAACCAAATGGGCTTGGGATTAAGAGTAACGGAGAGGCAGGGGAAATGCAGAGAGAAACCAAATGTATAAATTTAATTGGATTTTAAGTAGCAAAAACTAGAATGTAACCAGCATTGTTTAAGCTTCAAATCTCTTCTTCAGTTCTGACACTTTGACTGGAGGTCGTTCTTCCTCTTCAGCTTCCTCCGTGCGGTTGTTTGTTTCTGATGTATTTGAGTCACATGGCATTTGTGCATTCTCCCTGTTTCTGAACACAGTGCAAGGTTTCCCAGGCTCAGTGAAGGCCTTAACCCTGGACTTCACCTGGAAGCTTTGGGTGGATCCTTGAGACTGAAAGCGTGCTGCAGCAGATAGCACTTTAGGAGGAGAGGGGGTCTGCTTTACCTCTTGCTCCAGTTTTCCTGCAGCTACTTCAATCTTTTTTTCTTGAACTGATGTAGGGTTAGGGTCAACAGCAGGAATCTGAGGCCCAGGAGAGACTGTAGTATCTGGAACGGCCTCCTTCCCTTGATTTTGCTCTTCTTCAACGGAGTTGGGATGTTTAGGATTTGGGTTTATAAGTTTGCTTAAAGATCCTCTTACCTCTTCATTTTTCTCCAGTTGGCTCTCTTTTTCTTCTTCTCTTGCTTTTGGACTTTCATGTGTTTCTCTTTCCATCTCAGGTTCTGCAATTACCTCCTCTGTCTGATTTTGCTCATTCTCTTTGTTTTCTTTTAAGCCTTCATCGCTCTTGGCACATATTTCATTAACCGGGTCCTCCCATAAACTTACACCCTCTCCCGGATCTTGTTTCTCTATATTTTCCTCTAACTTTACTTCCTTAAACTTATTTTGATCATCAGTTTCCTCTGCTTGATTCCCATTTATTGCTCCTGTCACTTCTTCCTGTTTTTCTCTGTCCTGCCTCTGTCCATTTTTTGGCTCCTCTGTTTTGTTTTCTGACTGCATATTCATATTCTCCAACCCTTCCTCCTCTGGTACACTAGTGTCCATGCATGGCCAGTCAGTGTCCGCTGTCAGGTCTGATAACTCCTCTGTTGTTTCCAGATTCCAGCTGTGCAAGCTGCCACTGCCACTGATGGACAGAGACAAGCTCTCTTGGCTTGGATTGGTTGGAACACGCTGGAAAACACAGACAGATCAGAAATTGCATTCACTTGTGTGTGTGTTAGGGACACTTGTACCCTTTTTCTTACCCGTGTGATAAAGTCATGGCTGTCTGGCCCAAACAGATCCAGGCTGCGGGTGCCGTACAGCAGGCCACGGTCATGGGAGCTACGAGAGCTCAGTGTATCAAAGATCTCCCCAAGAAGATCCATCTCTTCTTCATCACACAGCAGTGCATCTTCCTCCTCCTCATCTTCTTCTTCATCATCCTTCTGGAGCTCAGAGTCAGGCTCAGTCCTGGACCCAGACATAGCTCTGAAATGATAGCAACAAACAAAACAGTATGAACAAAAATTCTCCACTGTAGAGATACAGTGTATTATCCAAATGATAATTAGTGCCCGATGCTCTTCTAACATATTCTTGGAGTTCTACACAGTTTTCTTTCCGCATGCTGTTTGATAAACTCTTTGGCTCTCCATCGGTTTATTATTTAGGTCTTCAGAGAGTTTAGATATGAAGGCTTTGTTTTGACTATGTGAATTGATGGATTGTCCATAATACACGTCTTTCTAAACCATTCCTAACCTGTAAAATTCAAAGTTAAACTTAGAGTTTTACAAACATCTAAAATGTAATTAAAACATACAATTCACATCAAAACACATGTGTGGATTGTAAAAGTCTGAATGTTAATGTAATAATATTTAGTTATTTATACACTTGTTTTTATTTGCAGAGTACAGCTTTAAGGACTTAATATTTCCATTTAGGGCTGGGCGATATGGCCTAAAATCCATATCACGGTATAATTTGAAGCATGTGTGGTAACGATATATGTCGCGATATATTCTTTTCTTCTGTATAACGTATTTTACACACTATAAGGTTCACTTAAAATCCTTTAATTTTCTCAAAAATCGACAGTGTGCCTTATGTCAGAATTCTGGTTGTGCTTACTGACCGTGAACTGATTTTATGTAGTTCACGGCGCGCAGAAATCTGTCAAAAATGTTTTAGTACGACTTTGGTAAGCTATGAAGGTGCACCGCTTGATGGATTGTTGGAGTATGGCGGCTACCGTAGTCAGGAGCCTCTCGGAGTAATCTGGGCCCTAAACTCTGTTAGCTTCAGGTCCTAAAGTCAAACGAACACTGCGGCATCACTGAGAGTTAAAAACTGTCTATATTCTTTCATCTTTAATAAAATGATCAGCTGCTGCTTTACCAGGTGTAACAATTAAGTTTAACATCCAGGCATCCATGAAAACAGAATTTATTACATTTAACAGAGTTAGAAGTTAGCAGGACGTTAGCTCGCTAGCTTTGACCTAAACATGATATGACATGTTCTGACTGAGAGATTTCTGGAGAAATTCAAACGTACAGCTCTGCTATCACTTCCAACATAAATGAAGACAGAAAACTAATCAGCAGTGATGTTTGTACAGTTACTGAAGTCGGACTAGCTGGTATATAATGATGTGCTACGTGAAGAGACAACTGTTGTTGTTTAATTTGCACTACATAAATTGAACTGAACAAGTACAGCTACATTTAATACAGCTAGGCAGTTAATACAATGCTGACTTAAGCTGTAACAGCCTCAGTGTATTCTAAAACACTCTGTAGATGAGTGAATATATTTCATCACAGCTTACCCATCCCATGTATCTTCACTGTCTTTCATGATGTCCTTGTCTCTAGAAGTCTTAGATTTCTGAGCAGGTCGACGGGGACGTGACTGACATGATGCAACAACAAAGCAAAGGTTTGGTAATACAATTTTTCCACAAGAAAACCATTCAAATGTTATAAGAATAATATAAAACAATACAGAAGCAAATGAGGTCACAGGGTTATATTTATATTATACCTTGACTGGCCACTTTATTAGGTTCACCATGCTAGTACTGGGTTAGACTCCTTTTTGCTTTCATAACTTCAACAAGGTGCTGTAAACATTCCTCAGAGAATTTGGTCTGTATTGACATGATAATATCATGCAGTTACTGCAGATCTGTTGGCTGCACACAAGTGCTGGAAATCCATCTCACTACATCCCTGAGATCCTCTATTGGATTGAGATCTGGTGACTGTGCAGGCAATTTTAGCCTGAACTGTTGAAAAAAGGCAGGATGGATCCATGCTTCATGGTGTTTATGCCCAATTCTGACCTTACCATCCAAATGTTGCAGTAGAAATGAAGACTCATCAGATTTGTCAAGGCCTTTCCAATCATCTCTTTCCCAGTTTTGGTGAGTCTGTGTAAATTGTAGCCTCAGTTTCCT